TGTGATTTTTTCATCGATGGAAAATTGTTAACTTTGGATATGTGAGAGAAATAAAAAGAAGAAAGATGAAAATCAGATGTATTATTCATGATAGAGCACATGCTCATACAATCATTCTAACCCATTTGGGTTAACACTAATCATCCCTTATACAAGGATGATAAACAAACCCCATAACCTATGAGGATTCTTGAGGTGGGAGACCCAAGTTAACCTCCCCCTTTCATGGTGAAGATCACATTATCTCACCCTCTAAACACATCACACTAGACCCTTTATATAGGCCTATCTCACTTAGCAAATGACTCAATTATCCTCTCTCTAACAAAAATCATTGTGGAAGATGAATAAAAAACCATTTAAGGATAGTAAAAAAAAAAAAAGTGCTTGTCAACAAAAAATTTTTAAAAAAAATCCAATCACAAAAGGCCACATCATCTACTGTCATGTGCCAATTAGGATTTTTTGGTCAAATTTATGCTGAATCAGCAACGTAATGGTCAAATTAAACATTTTGTTGGAGATGGATGAAATTGCACCATTTTAAATACTTGAGGAGTATAATTGTACTACAAATAACTTCAGGACACTATATACACTTGAGAAAGTAATTCACGATGTTGAGCGCACCTTAACTCTTAATTATTTATATACCAAAGGGCTACTGCATATATAATAACACTACAAAATATGTCTTATATTTAGGACTAGAAAGTATTAACTATACCGATATGGATCCTAATTAAGAATTAAATTTCGTCTGTATATATCACTAGTTAGTATTACATGCGTACGTGGCTAGTGAGACGTAATTAAGAAAACACATTTTATTAACCCGAACACTCTGCCACATGTAGAATCAAGCTCATGAAGTTAACCTGATCAAACAAACTTTCAGCACATAAATAACATGTGATAATGGAAAAGATTATTTTTCACTTGATTGAAGATAGGGACATTAAATAATGAAAGAACCGGAGAAGTGATGAAACTATCAAAGTGAAAGAAATTATTAAAACAAGTAATTCAGTCATTTCCTATTGTAATCAGATGATTGTGTACGCAAAATCAATATGATATGTATATCGTGATATAATCATTTTCAATTTATCAATATATATAATAAAATATGTAACAAATCATATTATTCCCGGGTTATAACAAATCAGATTCTTTTTTCCTCGTCAGTTCTCTATCAAATATATATAATACGTTTCTTTCTTCTTTTTTAATTTTTGAATGCATAAGAGCTAAAGTCTTTCTTATGTTTAGATTGTATCAATTGTTGTCATCATATACGCGGTTTCATGCTGAATTCAACTCAATTATTTGACCAAAAGCCATGGTTTTGAAGTTGGTGACATATAACACTTACTTCTACTCCTCATTACCGTAAGATCTTGAGATCTTTCTGAATGGTCCCTTATTATTGGACTTTTTTAGTTACTGAAATTGTCTTTGTCGATTTCTAGACTTTCTTAGGGCAAGAAGTAATTATATTGATTGGGTCAAAAGAGAAGCAGGTCAAATATTATTGGGCTCTAAATATGTTACTTATTGCTAGCTGGTGGGTGTCTGCGAAATGATATGTTTGAAAATAAGGGCATTGTTTGATTATTATGAGTATTATATTATTGTGCACTATATATTACTATATACTAAGATCTATAAATTAGAACCTGGCCTGATGACGAAGCTAATAGCTATACTTGAGCATTGGCATATCCAAGAAGAATAGAGACCCATGGCTGCCCTGCCTTCTCTATACCGTTTTCTTATGCTGCTTCTTCTTATTACCGCTGCTCTTTTCACGCAGCCCGCCCATGCCCGTGTAGGTATGTATGTATATGTATCTTAAAATTTATATATTTCTATAAATACACTTTCAAGAGAAAATAGTGAAATAGACACAAAAGTCGGTCCCATAAAAAATAGGACTAGTATTTTACTTTTTTTTTTTTTGGGTCAATCTCTTTTCTCCCTTTTCTTGAAGTCCCTTATCATCATCATCATCATTTGGTATATCCAGTGCTTTTTCTGGATCATATTATCAGTTATCTGAGCAACTGATTGATCTGATTCAAAATTCATGGCTTCCCATCCCTACAAAAATGTCTCTTCCGGGACTGAGGTTTAGGGTTTAGGGTAGACTAACTTTTTTATTGGTTGGTTGATTTTATTTTTTTATTTTTGTTTAAACCCATTGTATCTACCGCTAGTAGTAGTGGCTAATTTCCTTGTACGGTAGGCTATGAAACTCTCTCCATCCGCACCATGAATACTGGATACTTAAGAAATCCGGCTAAATGATAATTGTGCTAAGCCTTAAGATTTCAAGTCATTTTAGTTTAACACATCTGCGCGCATGCATGCATGCATGCAATCACCGAATCACGTGTGTAGTTAAATGAAGAACAAGTAAATTTGGTCACTCCCTTTTCATTTGTTGTATATCTTGATTGAAGTTATCATGTTTTTGACATAACTAGCTACTTGTTTGAGCATTTTACACGAAATTGTAAAAAAAAAAATCATAATATTTATAACTTGTAACCAATATAATTTATCATAAATTTCATATTTATATTGATTAATACTTAATATTGATTGATGATCAATAGTGGTAATTTCTTCCAACTATGAAGATTTTGATGAAAGACGAAAAGCAGTGCAGGTTCCAACTATATATTCACAATAAAATTTTTATTTTTATATATGCAGCTATAACCAGAAGGACAGTCAACGGTGATTTGCCACGTCCTCCACGTCCACCTGTGCGTCCGCCAGTAGCCCGCCCAGCATTTCGCCCACCACATCCATAACATATGCATAATTATTCATATATGCATGAGTTTATATATGCCTTTTTTTAATCATGTATAAGTTTAGGTGTGTCGGATTTTAAAAGTTTATTTTTAGTTAAAGCAGGAATCTCAAGACATGAGAGATCGATCATAAATGTACTCATAAATCATCTTGTGTCTTTTGTTATATATGTCTTAATTTCGTAACTACTACTACCAAAATTATTAGTTACATGGCGTACGTGTTTTTTTCTTTTTTGGATCTTTTCTTTTAAATTCCTTTGCTCCTCCAGTTCAGTTGATGCATGGTTGGAGAATGTTGTGATGGATTCTATACGCAACTGTAATGTTTCACTATGTGATTTTTTTTTTTTTTCCAGTGCAAAGAATTTGATGAACTATATGAATCAACTTTGATTTAAGAATTAAGAATTATACAATTGTAAATAAAGAAAGATTATCAGATCATGATTTCTGCATATGCCGGCTGCAAATAAGCTGGCTATATAATCATTAACTAATTTAATCAGCTTCGCATCCATAATAATCGGGTACAAGTACAAGCAAGCATGGGACGAGCGAGAGCATTTTGATTTCTTAGAATCTAATTAATATCTGAACTGATTATAATTAGTGACTGTTAATGGATAATATTACCTTATGTTCTTAATATAAAAACTAGTTTGACTTTTAATTTGATTTTATAAATATAAAACCATGATCCACTTTATCTTTCATATTTATTTATTTTTTTCAAGCTAGCCCTTGTAGTAGTTGTACATGTTAAGTGTTTCATCAAATGATAGTTCTAACTAATACATATAATTGGTAAGAGCATTTTAAAGAAGACAACACACCTGTTTGTTACAAGTAACTAATTTAACAAAATTTTTTATTTTATCCAAATTAATCAACTTGTTCTTATACTAAGAATCGGAAGTAGTATTCATCTTTACGGATCATAACATGAATTATTATAACTGGCCTTAATTAGTCAATATCAGCGAAATTACGGTAAGTAATTACACTTTACTAATTAGAAAAACACACGTAAGTAGTGGAAGATAAAGTTTATTATTTGTTATTCCAAAATCAAGCCTTGACCATCTTCAAATAAATTCGTAGAAACAATCGATATTTGTTATACTTGGTTTAATATACGCGTGACTAGATAAACGTAAGAAAATAAATTAAACTTGATTGATAAAATAGATAATTTACTGCGTTTTTCAACTCAAAAAAATATATTTTATTGTACTGCATATATAAGCGACAAAGGGATCGCTTTCTTTTGAAGAATTCAAGCTGTTGACTTGAACCTCCTTAATTTATTGCCTTTCAAGGCACCAAATGCTGTAAACAACAAAAAGTGACGACTATAATGTCAAACTGATTCCTTAAATATGTACTATATCCGATCCTTAATATAAGAGTTCATTTAACTTTTATTTTAGTTTTAAATATAAGACTCAATCCACTTTGTCTCTCATTTAGTTTTTTTGAAGATAGTCCTTGTAATAATGATAGTTCTAGCCAATACACTTAATTAGCGATGATATTTTAGGAAAGATAACACTTATTTATTACAAATAACTAACTTAATTAGTTTTCATAATTTACTCAAATTACTCAACTAACTCTTATATTAAGGACTGAAGGTAGTATGTTGGAGAGAGACAGTCACACACATTTGTTGGAAAAGAAAGGTTTCATTCAAGCTAAGTATTGATGGATTCAATTATTAGTATGTGGCAACTGTAACCAGGCCAATGCGATATTTTTTTTTAACCTATCTTCTACTACTATATGTCCTTGACATCCTCACTTGCTCCAAAGGAAAATAAATAATGAAAAGGTCTGAGCGAAGAAATTAAATTAAAATAACACATTGGTATAAGTAGTTTTATTTGAAGATTGAACCAGTCATAATGCTATAAACAAATGAAGAAGCGTTATTATTTCTAAGTAGCAATATCCTTGAAGGAACCAAATGATAATAAACAAATGCACATTTCCTTTGTCTTTCTAAGTGATACATGTTTCTGTCGTATAAGTCCACTTCAACTGGGTTTCTGCGAAAGTTTGAGGAAAATGCGCAATAGATAACTCAAATGCAAGACAATATAATAATTGCCTTGAAACAAGTATAAATTTAGACGCCGCGGAGCTCATAATTATATGTAGCCTTAGCATATATAAATCCAGACCAACAACAATATATATACATATACCCATGGCTGTGTCTTCTTTTTCCCAATTTCTGATGCTTCTTCTTCTTCTTGTTGCTTCCAGTCTTTCCATGCTGTCTCACAATGCGAGTGCAGGTATGCCTCTATGTCCTTGCAAACTTGTAGCTAAATAATACTCATTTCAACTTGGTAAAAAAGTTAAAATTATTATATCCATGAAATTTTGAATTTCTATGCATGGCTCTCTTTGATTTCAGTATTTAAAAACACACATATGTCTTTCTTTACGTTGCCTTGAATCTTAACATGAAAATAAGTCATATTATATTCTTCACTTGTTATAGATTTTATATAAAAGACTGTAAATTTTAATAATCACGCACAAATTATATATGCAGGTATGACCATGAGAAAACTAGCAGGCCAGCTGCCAAGTTCGCCGCCGCCGCCGTTGCCATCTAAATGGATCAAACCACTTCCAAATCCGTCAAGCCATCCCCTGGCGGCTTCACCACCACCGCCACTGCAGTAGAAGTTATTTCAGAATGAAAAGAATAAAACTGCATTAGGATGGCCTGTATCCGTGCAAAATGTGTGATTGTATGTGTTGTCCTTTTATAAATTTATGCCCGACGAACACACTCGAGGCTAACTCAAGCAATAAGAATAAGGTGAAATGTGTTTAGAGATTTATGATATAAAAATTTTCTGTTGTAACAAATAAAAATATGATTCATAATGATTAAGGTACTGAAAATCATTGAATTAATTAGTGAAGACAGTGGCTTGAAGATCAGTAGTATAATGGTGGTGGAACAAGAGCCAAGCCAATCATGATTCAAATAATATAATTTAATTAATATATACAAACATGTTCATATATATTCCTGAAAAAAGAGTAATATTTAAATAGAAAGACATTAATATTCATAAGTAAATGGAATATTTGTATATAATCACGCCTAATCCAATAAAATAACAGTTAATAAAAAAAACTGATATGGTGCTATTTTTATAACGCAAAATGATGTCAGTTTAGACTTTAGACTCGGCAAAGGGAAAAATTTTAAATTCAACTCGGTTGACTCTCCGTCCAAAAATCTCGATTGAACTGATTACGAAACCGTTTTACTGATTCATTGGTTTGACTGGCTAATCCAAATTAGGTTTTAATGCCCTAATAATAATTGAAGATAAAATTAACATTTAGGTAGGGACTATAATTTTTAGTTTTTTAACTCAATAAGTTTTCGTAATTTATTTTGTTTGAAATGGATCCTTTTTAGTTGATCCGTTATGATTCATCCTTGAGTATAAAACTTGTTGATTTTAATTTACAAAATTTCATGAATTTTATGAAAATTCTTTCATTTCATTTAATTTTATTTTAACACTCGTGTATTTCTATAAATAAAATTTCATAAAATCTATAGATTAAAATTTTTGAATCAAATAATAAAGAGTCAAATTAAACAAAGTAAATTACAGATACCTAATTGAAAATTAAAGTAAACTATGTAAGAATTTATGAATTAATTAATTTTCTGATAATTGAATAGACACAGGCATGAGAACCTATATGTACTTTAATTAGTGGTGGTTACGATATAGCAAACCCATTAAATCGTGAATAATGAAAATTGGTGCCAGAAAATTTTGAAAAAATTACAAGATCCCGCCCTAAAGAATTAAATATAAAAAAACCCCTTAAAATTATCAAATTAATCTGAAGTCTCAAAGGATATCATTGCAAAAAATTCTATTTGTTTAGTTATCAAATTGTTCTTTTTACTTTTTTTGGCATGCGATTATTAACAACTTAAAATGTAACGATTAATAACTATCACGACAGGTATTATCAACATATTTTTTCAGCGTATTACAAAAATATAATGCATCAGTTATAATTTTTCTGAAAATTTGTGGCCTTCAGCAATATTCGTATATACTACCTCCGGTCCTTAATATAAGACCCCGTTTGACTTTTAGTTTGGTCATAATTATAAGACCCCAATATATTTTGTCTCTTATATTTATGCATTTTTTTTTCAAGATAATCCTTCTAATAATAATAGTTTTAGCCAATACACTTAATTAGCAATGATATTTTAGGAATGACAACACTTATTTATTACAAATAACTAACCTAACTTATTTCCTTAACCTCTTCAAATTAGTCAACTGGGTTTTATAATTAAGACCGGAGGTAGTAGTTTCCACATAAAGTAAGAATTTACTCAAGCTCATCACCAACTCCAGGTAAAAAATACGATGTGTTAACATTTGAATCCTTATACGCTGACCTCGACCATATATGTCTCTTTCATTCTGTTTTAATTTTTGAACCAAAGTTGCCAGGTCGATGTCAATTATTAAATGTGAGCATATTTTGTCAGCGTATCATGCTTTGTCGTAATTAACGATGATTTTTTTTTTAAACGAGTTTAACTCGACACTCCCGCCATTAAGGAGCACGCCACGTGCAGCCGTGCAGGCTTGCGTTCAGACACAAACATATTGAGGGATTTATTGGACTTCGTATAATTTTGAGGGAAATAAATGAAAACTAAATATGAGACAAGAGAAGAAATCAGAATAAAATAAAACATTGGAACAAATAATTTTGTGTAAATTTACCACAAATCAATATATCACCATTAATAAATATATATATGATAAATCACATTATTTATAATAGTACTCCTTCAACTCTTATTTATAAGTTGTAAATTTGGAGAGGAGTATGTTCTATTTTATAAACTTCAATTTCGTGTTTGTCTTAATATTTAATATTTTTTTTTAATTTTGTCATCAATTATTTATTTTCTCTCTTTGTCATAATCTATTTTATCACATTTTCCTACATATTCTCTTTCATCTTTTTTTTTTATATTTATTATAAAGTCATATTTGAAAATAAAAATATATTTCGAACCTACATGTTGTTTTTAGCTAATTATTTATCATCTATGAATTAATTATTTGAAACTTATAATAATGACGTAATAGAGTATATTTTATTCTTCAAACTCCAACTATTACATAACTAAGTGCGTTATACTAGTCACCTTGAATTGGAGATTGAGCCATTCTTAATGCTCTCAAGGGTCAACAACTTAATTAATACACTTTCTAAAATTTTTTGACCAGAGTACCCTTTCTAATTGCATTATGCGTTTGAAGGAGCCAAAACATAATATAGTTATGCAGTTTTGCGCTGATTTCAAAGTTGAGCACTGACAGCAAATATATCATACTACTCCGATTGGATTGGACCTTGAAGGAGTATTATTGTATGTACTATATTGGGTAGCAAAGTCCAACGTAACTATTATTTTCACGCAAGTCCGTATTATTATTGTTAGCGGGTTTCTGCGAAGTTATACGTTCGTATTACCAAAATCATGTTTGAATATATATATATATATATATGCATTGACTGATTATTCAAATATATATCCAATTTTATTACTCCTCTGGTCATTAATATAGGACTCATTTAACTAATTTGATTAGATTAAGGAAGTTAGGTAAGTTAGTTAATTATAAGAAAAGTGACACATTTTTCCTAAAACACCATAATCATCTTTCTTAATACCACATCTCCCTCTTCTACTTCATTATGGTTGAGGAAGTATCTACGGAGGTAATTTAAAGAAAATTGATAAATATGATAAATGGGTTTTATATTTAGGACCAAAACCAACTCAAGAATTGGGTCCCATATTAAAGACCGGAGGAGTATTCTTGTTCGAAAAGATCTATAAATTCAAAGCCGATGAAGCTATTTAGGGCTAGCATTATTAGAGATGATGGGTACGTCGTCTCTTTACCATTTTCTGATGTTTCTTCTGCTTATTACCTCTACGTTCTTGGTGCAGTGCCCCCATGCTGGCGCAGGTATATATGTATGCATATTTATATGTAAAATCTGCTTTCTTTTATGGTAATAATCGCAAAATATACGTAATAATAAATAGTGTTTATGCATGCAGGTATAACCATGAGGAAACTGGCGGGTGATATGCCACATTCACCACCTTCACCGAAAGGATCCCCTCCAATACGTCCACGTCCTCCTATTCCTAGATAAGGAGGATCTATCTGGCGTCCATTTTAGGGTTTACAGGTCTCCTCCATCATTTGGGGCTAAGCGTTTGGGTTTTTCTTTCTTTGTAATATTTCATAAGCTGATCTCTCTCAGCACAGATAATTAATATAAGGGTCATACAGTCCTTAATTATTTATCATATAGCCATATGGTATGATCAATAATTTTTCATATCCTTAATTAATAATATAATCGTGCATATAAAGCCCAAGCATGGGGACCTATCTTATTATAACACAAAATCTAATATCTGAAATAAGTAGCAACAGCTAATGGATAATATTTTTCTTTAATTACCAATCATAACATTAATTGTAAATTTGGTCTTAACTCCAGTCAAAGTCATCAACTTATATACGATAGCTCCCGTTGACGAGAAGCAGGTTTGATTTTCAATCTCTATATACAGGGCAAATCTATAGTTAAAATGGCTTCCTATTTACAGGTGATACTCGATCGGTGGAGATTAGTGTCTATTGCCAACGGATAATATTCCCAAGGCATGCCAAAAATATATGAGCATGGCCCACGAGACGTAATTAGGAAACACAGTACTTGATTGAAAGATCTAGTTTACTGTGTGCAGCAGGACTTCCTTTTGTTATTAAGTCATCACTATTTCCTGACCAAATTAAACTTCTCCAACCTGCAGGTGCAGTTACATAAGCTCCTTCTTTTCTTAGACCTTTTTTCCTTTTGTGGGTAGAATTTTCTTGAACTTTTTGTGTTAAAAGACCTAAGAATCAACATCGTGCTTTTTTTTTCTTTTGGAGGTAAACAAATTTTAGGCAGAGGTTCGGAGTTCAACCCAGGCCAAAAACAGGACGCTTCAATGTTAACTTGATACTTTTGAAATGGTTTGAATAAGTTTAAATGGGCTGGGCCTGGCACATTAGGGATTTCAACCAAACAATTTCACCAGTCCACATCCAATTTCAGATATCAAATGCATTTGAGGAGGACAAGATAATCACCATCCTTTGTACCAAGAAAAGGGCGGAGCGTAAACCAGAAGGGAAAGGGTATCTCAAGGAAGGGACACTGAAAATTAAAGACAACTGGGAAAAACTTCCATCAACAGTCTGAAACCTAACAAAAAAACCAGGAAGAAACTCTAACGGCCCTTATTATACTGCAATATCTGAGCTTGCACATGCGGAAGAGACAAAATAAAACACACCAACCAAAAAGGTAAAACTAGGAAACAAGTAAAAACGACCAAACACATACAGCAAACCAAAACTACATAACTAACATTTGGAGCATGCACCTTCTGAAATTTATGTACGGTCTACCTCTGGTCTTAATTATAAGACTTCGTTTGTAGTCTACAAACGAGATCTTATAATTAGTATTAATAAATATAGTATTAGATACCAAATTAGCAAGTAGTCGCTTAAGAAAGAAAGAATCAGTTTTTATTTCTCATAGCACGCCGAGTCTGCTCCTTGTTGTGCATTATATTATACCTAAGATGCCTTAATTAGAAGCATGGTTTCATGTGTGAAAACACCGGGGTTGCTTTGCCAAGTCCACTACCATCTTCGTTTTAAAAATTAATTGGATTATTGGAAGAAGATCCATGCCTAGTTTGAAAATAAACACAAATGTGTAACTTTATTCTAGAATTCAAATATGAAATTTGCGTAGTGCGTTGACAAAAGGGACATTGTGTCTTGCGTGTTTTGTACATGACAACGACCTTGTTTCTCTCAATTGTTTTTGGCCAAATTATGTTGAAAATCCGACACAACCATATCAAATTAAGAGAAAACATGAATCAATTTATATATATATATATATATATATATAAAGTACGACCGTGATTGGTAAAGCAAAGAAAGAAGGGGATATCAATGGGGATGTGTTCTGTTTACCGATGGGTGATGTTATTGATTGTGTTCATCGCCTCCATTCTTGTTATCATCCAGTTTACTGAAGCTACTTCTTCAGGTTCGTCTTGTGTTTTTCACACAACTCAAATAATGCCTTCAACTCAAATTTGGGGCCTAACTTTGTTTTTGTGTGTGTGTGTGTTGTTTATGCAGATATGAAGATGAGGAAACTGGGTAATTTGCCAAGTTCACCTCCTGTACCCGTCGGATCTCACAGTGTGCCTCCGGGAAATGGCTATTAACGCTAGTGATTGATGATCATTGATGTGTGTGTGTGTGTGTGTAAAAGTCAGTAAAACTGAATTAAATTAGTATCTACTGTTACATTATTACGCAAGTAATAATTTCTTTTTTATCATTAAAAAATGTGTGGCCTGCAATTAGTTAGATGTTCAGTTTGGTTTGGCGATGGATGGCATCTCAAGGCTTCTCCATTTTCAATTAATAAAGTTTGCAACTCTTAAAGAGAAGACAAGAAATTACATGAATTAATTTGATGATCGAAATAGTCTTAGCTTGAAGCAACAAACAAATTGATGAGGACTCTCTCACACAAGTAGCGATACATGCTTGAAGGAACCAAGAAAATTAATTAACAAATCAAGGCACTTTTCCTAAGTTTTATTAATCAAATGCTTGATTTATTTAAGGTCGTTAACAATGAACTCCGTCAACATATAAAAGACCTTTGTTTAAGAGATTTATCTGCTGAAGAACAGAATACTGTTGTGGCTGATTGGGTTAGTGATGGTACACGGGATTTTTCAAAGTTGCTCCATGTGGTTCAGGCCAAAGTTTTGGCCAGACTCACTTGTGTTATGATCCCTTTTGATTCTGCTGGGGAGGATGTTTTAATGTGGAAAGCTTCAAAGGCTGGCATTTTCAGTATAAAGGGTGCTTATTTTCTTATTGAGGAGAATCCTATTTCTCTCTACAGTCAGATTTATAAACTTATTTGGAAATGGAGAGGTGCAGAAGGGATTCGGGTTTTCATTTAGATTTCATGGTAGACTTCCTACCAATCTTTGGAGAAGCAGATTGTGTCAATGTTCTCCCTTGTGTTCTATTGCCTCGACGTGTGGAAGGCATTTTACACGTTCTTAGAGACTATGACTATGCAAAATCTGGGCGGAACTCTCTTGTACATCATAAGTACGTGAACAGATTTTTTTCCGGCATCTATGAGAGAGTGGATTGCCCTTAATCAGGAAAACATGGGTCTTGATGGGAATGATGATTGGAATATGGTCTGGGGATTTTCAATATGGAAGCTTTGGCTTTGGAGGAATGAAGCAACTTTGGACGCTAATTTTGTAAAGCCTCCGGATCCTACTGCTGTGATCAATCACAGCTAGCAAAATTTTACGGTTGTGACTGAACCTATGATACATGCTGTGAAGGAGTCTACGTTTTGCTATATTTCTTGGTCTCCTCCGTCTTAAGGATGGTTCAAATTAAATGTTGACGGTGCTGTTTCAAAATCCTCCGGGAAAGCTGGTTTTGGAGGTGTTATTACAGATCATTTTGGCAATTGGATTATTGGTTTCTCTCTTCAAATTGGTTCATGCAGTGTCCTTGAGGCAGAAGCTTGGGCTATTTTTAAGGGCTTGAAGTTGGCTCGGGATTTTGGATTCAAAAAGGTTGTACTTGAATCTGATGCAAAGGCTTTGATTGATTATCTAGCGAGAATAATCCCAGCTACTCTTGTAGGCTTTTGTTAATGCAGATTCATAATGTGCTGTAAGTACAATTGGGAGATCAAGCTGTGTTTTATTGGAAGGCAGGCTAATGAAGTTGCTGATGCACTAGCCAAACAAGGGATCTCTGCTTCCTCCTATTTTGATATTTGTCCGAGTCATATGCGAAATTTAGTGGAGAAGGATTGTTTGGGGTTTAATTCCACTTAGCTTTCTATAGATCGTTTGCTTATGTACCAGAAGAAGAAAAAAGACTCCGTCAACATATCAAGTTCTGCTACATGTTAATACTTATTAAAAGTATTCTTCCGGTTCTAAATATAAGACTTATTTTATAGTATAATTCTAAATATAAGACTCATTTTGTAGTATAAATATAAGACTGGAGGAGTACTTTTAATTTTGACTCAAGCCCAAGTCTTAGCTCTAGCTATCTTGCCAATTTTAAAGCCTCGTTCAGTATAACATATGATAAGGCTGAATAAAACCAAAAACTGAGGCCTTGAAATTGTTCGAGTTTACAACTCATGATGAGCTTCTCATGCACCGCGCATCGTTACTTCATATCTTTCCCAATCGTTGAAATGGAGCAGACTTAGAACCCTTGTGGATTGTCAAATGTCATTGCTGTCATCAGAAAGGGTTAGATCCAAGCACGCTCTGACCTCGACAAATCAATGTATTTTATTGACTTTTCAGTCGCATATGGGTTCGGTGCATTGCACAAAGTTTAAGAAACAAGTCATACTATTTAATAATTTAATATTTTATGTATTACTTCCTAGCCATTTTTCGGGCCGCATCAGCGACCTTTTACGTCTGTCCTGGAAGTCTGGTTGTAGCAGCGACACATGTTTGCATCTCTATTTCTTTTATTTTGATGCTAGTTATTATGCGTCCAATCCTAAGTTTTCATCTTCTGATCATTCTTATTATTATTAAGGGCCTCATATAGTTGGAGATTGATGTCTCATATGTGAAACAATACGCAGCAATTTCTTGCCACAGATTTTTATAAGTGCTACATTATTAGTGATATTTAATCATTAATTTCTTCCTCCATACTCACCAAATTAAAAGTGGATGCACGGAAGGTGGATTTTCGTCAGATGTGAAAATTATGATATTATTTTGATTTGTTTTGTCAAGGTAACTGACGTAATGTACTAATGTTTGCATTTTATACCCCTCTGATGAGTCTTTATTTTATTATGATTTTTCATATCTTATTTGAGGATTTTATCACATTTATTGAGCTTAATTGTATTTATTATGATTAATTTGAATTAAATGTAATTTGATGAAAATACTGCTAAAAGAGCAAACATATCATACTTTTATGATTTATTTTGATTGATTGATTTTTTTGAAAAATATGATATTACATTATCTTAAATTTTATTGTAGAAAAGCTAAAATAAAAGGGCAAAGGATCAACAAGATTGAAAAAAAGAAAAAGGAAAAAAAAAAAAAAAGAAGGACCGAATGAAGTTCACCGTTTTGGGGGAGAAGCCTAGGGTATCTAATTGAATCTTCATCCTTCGTGAGTGGGGAGCCGGAAGCAGGACGGCGGCAAGGTCTTCATTAGCATCCCTTATATATATATATATATATGACCACACGCATACTGTGACAACTGTTTTTTTAAAACCATTTTACATTAAATTCAACAATTTATTTAAATGATTAACCATGATAGAAAAGAAGAAACCTTAAAATTTTAAAATCGTTATCATGGTTAGAAAAAATAAACTTATATTACGAGCAACATCGATCGTTAACTTAGGCCTTGGACTTCAAAGTCCAGAAATATCATTCAACTATTAGCCCAAACCAAACTTATACTTTCAAACATACGAACTGATAAATCATTTTAATATAAGTCATGGAGTCCATTAGTTAAAAGTCAACACTATCAAAAGAGTGTAATACGTAAAGTTTTAAATATCTCTGGCCTTCCAACGACCCCCATATCAGATAGTAGTAATTAAAAGTATTAGTTTACAACATCAGAGTATATGGGCCCTATGTGACAATATATAACAAATCAGCACATATAACAAAAGTCGGGAGGCTATACAAGCTATAACAGCACAGTATGCCTCTGGAGCCTTCCCTGATGGGTCACCACCTGAACTATCACCTGAAGATAGTAAAAACCACGAGGTGAAACAAACGCCTCAGTAACCAACTTTCCAACTCATCATACATACTAACACGTGCTCGTGAGATGTCAAGTGGGACAGTTATTAATTCTCAAAAACATATATATATATAATTTCAATCATCCAAACCCTTATTATGGGAGCTAACACACAAGCCACATAAGTTTATCTCTCACTATGGGGGATTAATCAGACATATAGGCCTATCCCTCACTCTAGGGGACGAATAAGAAGCCATAAAAGCATATCCCTCACTATGGGAGATGAAGGAAGAAGCCAACCAATGTGCATCAATGGTGGCCTTACCACGTAGTAGGATTAAACTCAATCCAAAATCCAAATAACAACCAATCATTCACAATATAACAAAAAATGTCTCAATCTTTTCTCAGTATAATCCATAAGATATAAATCATATATCTTTTTCAAACTTTTCAATCACAATTCCAAAAATCCCACAAGACAATTTTCATAGCTCAAAAGATATTACATATCTACTCGAGTTCCAAATATTAAATATTATTCTAAAAATAGCAAAATACCCATAAACAACATATTAGCATATATAACAAGTGGAAAATGGTTACCTCTCGTCAAAACAATACTAAGGATTACCACAAGGTCAATCTTTTGCTCAACCAATAATTAATCTACATAATTAATATAACCACATATTAATATAAACTAATTAATTAATTAAACTTCTCTATATTATTTAAATTTCTAATTTAACTAAATTTTTATTCTAAATTCCCGCAACTCTCATAATCCAAAAAATTATTAAGTATTTTAGAAATAACTTAAAATTTTCTAACAAGCCAAATTATTTATTTACCACCTCCAAATTATTTACCTTAATAAAAAGAATTTTTCACAATTTCCAAATATAAAATTACTATTGTTTAAATTCTAAAATATCATTTTAAATTTAAACCTCAAAATCAAACTCTCAAAAATTCAATAATACTTCAAATATTTATAAATAAATAATCTAATCAAAACTTCAATGGTATAACTACCATATACACATATATTTTCAAAAATAATAAACTTTTTAGCTACAATAATTATTTTAAAACCTCCAGTCACCCAACAAATAAAACTAAACTGATAAAATTTTTAATAATATGTTAAACACCTCAAATAAATTATTCAACTTAATTTTAATTGGTAAAATATGATATAAATCATATATCACATATTTTTCAACTAGAAAAATCCATTTAAGCACTAAAACCAACAAATGGACAAATCTAAACTGATTAAACTTAACAACTCATTTACCTCTAAATTTTTATGAGTATCTTTCACCAAAACTCCATATTTATATCATATATAAGTCTCAAAATTTTCTTTAAACACTTTAGTAATACTGTCATTAGGAAATCTAAAATATATAGGAAATATTCATGAAGAAAGTTTGATAAAAAGAACTATATTTGTGTACCTAGATGATCTCCAAAACTTGTATTACCCTTCAAAATGTCAGAACTTCTCTGCTCCT